GCAATGGTTACTTTGAATGGTGATCTGAAGGTTAGATAGGATCAAAGAGGGCTGCAGGTACAAGGTAGGCGCTCACCTCCACATGATTCTCTTCTCGTCTTTCCAACACATGCACCAATCAGCCGCTGTCAGCACGAATCCCAGACCTGAGCGAAAATCATTGGTTCAATGCTTACTCGGAGAGCAGAGGCCGACTTACAGGAAGCAGCTAGTTTAGCATTCATAACGGGATAAAGTCGTCTTTGAAATCTCCCGGGTTTGACCAAGTCCTTATATACTGGAATCTACAGAAATAGGAGCTCGCTTCCTGCCGCCACATCCTGGTATATAAATAGCCATCCGTATTGCCGGTCAGCGATGTAGTACTTACATTCAGTAGACACGGATATCTGGGGAAGCATTCATTCATCCATTGACAGTTGGGTTTCGATCATAAGGGCAGTTCCCGACGGAATAATCACAACCATTCTGAGCTCTGGGTCCGAGGACCGCCGGAATGTGGACAGTCATGATAAGTCCTTCACCGAGGGCGAGGAAATGAGGAGTGGTGTGCCTGAGTATTGAGCAGCGGCGGAATCGATTGCAGCGCAGGTAAAGCGTTCAACACTTCTGCACCATGTGAGAGACAAAACCGGACACGAACCTGAAGCACCCGAATCTATCGATGCCACTTAGTTGTGCATGAATCCTGTAGGATGCCAATTCACCTGCCCTATCGTGTCCAGTCGCGAGAAACGCCGGTTTCCTCAAATGTTCCCACCCTGCTTGTTTACTCTGTACCTTCATGTTGGCTTTCCCCCAGTGTATATGCCTTGATTGTCACGATTTACGAGTCTGACTACAAGGTGAACTCCATTTGAAAGCTCCAAGTTCTCGTCCTTATACCTCTCTGGCAATAGGATGCCCTTCCATCCCGATGACAGTGCCTTTGACCTGCTGTATCTCACAGTTGCCCGTAGGCGTTATGATTCCCCGATGGCTGCCTTTTATCGTCTCGAGAGACTCGGTTATCCACCATCCTATACGACTGAAGAGGCTGTATCCCGAAACGATGGAGGAAACAGGAGAGATGTGGGACGACGAATGCGATAGCGATAATATCTTGGCAGTGGTATTTCTACCTCGAGATATGCATCGGCGTCGGTTCCTTCCCGGTAATGTTGGCTTTCTTTATAGACATAGTTCCGATGGTATATCACTTCACTCAATACGGGTCGCTCCTAATGAGAGTTTCTATGATCTACCACCTATTTACGAATCCTTAGAGTCATTCGCACGACACCAACCTTCATTGATCTGTTTAGTCCCAAACAAATGCACATGGCAAAATCTCTAACTCAAGTGAGTACCTACGCACCATATTTGCTTCTCGCGGCCAAGTTCACTGGCCCATGGCCGTTGTATAGTTCCAGAATGCTTTTACAGCCTTTTGGTCGCGGTGGTCGCGGTTGGACGTTGGAGTCAGTCAATGCTGAGTCGCGTCACTCGCCATGCGATACTATTCAGTTGGCAACGCGCTCTCGTTTGGACCTAAACAGATCATCGAAGGTTGGTGTTGTGCGAATTATTCTAGGGATTCGTAAATAGGTGACACATGTGCACGATAAGTTAAGGCTCAACACTCGACGTTCCATCCCCAAGGTCACCAATTGACAGGAAGCAGGGATTGTACAGTAGCGACGCCTCCAAGTCTACAAACGTCAAATATCAAATATCCATTGGGAGGATACTCTGTTCTTACTATACTAGAGCTCATGTGCAGCTACGAAGGGTGGGTGTGAGTGTCCCAAGTCGAGTCGACGGTGGAAAACACCAGGTCCTCCAATTCCTTTTCTGAGCCCTCAGTCCCTGATAGTCGTTGTAAATGAATCACTACTCGACAACCCTGTGGGCAGGTCGACAGAGAGGGGTCAGTGGCGTACGTGATTGTACGGAGCCTGAGTTGACTCATCAAAGTGGTGTGAACACCTACCGAGCGACACGTCACCGAGACAAACAGACTGAGAAAGATGATAGCCTTCAACGCCAAGGACAAGAAGAAAAAATGATCAGGCAACTCACGGGAAGACACAAATCGAAACAATATCGGTTATTCTAGTAGTCTTATGAGCCCCAGCCAGACTAGCAACCAATACTCCTACCAGAGAGTCAAATACATTAGCTTCCACACTTTCCCTGATCCATGCTCGTTACAAAACGCACCGAGAACGGCCCCCCACACAAGAACCGCGTCACGGGTCAACACCCGGCTGAAGTTCCGTGTGGGATATTCCCTCAAGCTCCAAGTTTTCAGAAGAGTTAGCGCACACCAAACAGCGTGAAGAGCCAGTTCAATTATCCTTGTGTTTGTGAACCCAACCATTCAGAATCTTTTCGAGGTCGATCCGCGTTCAACACTCACCCAAATATGATGTTCGCCTCAAGGTGTGTGGTCAGGACACACTCGCGACCGAACGGGTTTATATGCGACGGCGTATAGTCGTAAACGGAGATTATTGCGATCAAGGCTGCCGTTCTCCCAATGAAAGCCAGAAAGAGAAAGGCACCCATGTAATGGCTTTTGGCGTAAAGGGCATACACTTTGATGGAGATGGTTGAGCCAGCGTTCGTGATTGACTGTAACTCGCGGAAATACTTACCCCGGAGCATAAGAATCAAGTGTAGCAGAGCACACAGAGCGAATGCGACGATTGACATGAGCACAAAGTGGATTATGCAAATATCATATGGGACTACGCCCTGAGGGTATTTGATTCGAGAGAAGAATGTGATCGCAACGTCTGCACTGGTTTAGCCTGAGTTGTCTGATTTCGTGCGTGTAGGAGGTTGATGGATGGACTTACACATGAATTAAGAATGAGGAGTAGTTGATACCGATGTACAGAACGTTGGCAGCGGTAACTTTGAGTGGCGATCTGCAGATTAGACAGAATTAACTAGGGCTGCAGGTACAAGGCAGGTGTTCACCTCCACATGATTCTTTTCTCGTCCTTCCAGCACAGGCACCAATCGGCCGTGGTCAGTACGAGCCTCAGACCTGAGCGAAAACATTGAATCGTTGTTCACTCGGAGAGCAGAAGTCAACTCACAGGAAGAAGCGAGTTTGGCATTCATGACGGGGATAAAGTCATCTTTGGAACGTTGAGACATAGACCGAGTCCTTATATACTGGATATCTATGGTAATAGGGGATCGCTTCCTGCCGCCACATCGTGGTATATTGATAGGTCTGTGGTGTTCCCATGGATGATTCAGGAGACACGAATATCCGGGGAAACATTCATTCATCCATGGAATGGACAGTTGGGTTCCGATCATATTGACAATTCCCGACGAAATAGTTGCAACCATCATTCGCTCTGGGCGCTCATCCGAGAACCGCCGGGATATGTGGGGAGGCGTGGCAAGTCCTCTAATTATAGTGAAGAAATGAGGCATAGAGTATTGAGCGCAGCGGAATCGTTACGGCGCAGGTAAAGAGTTCAACACTTCTGCATCATACGACAGACAAAACTGGAGACGAACCCGGAGCATCCAAATCTACATATTGAACATTCATCCTGGTGGACGTGATGTCACCTGCCCTAAAGACAGTCGTGGACATCGCCGTTTTGCCCAAATGTTCCCACCCTGCTTGGCTCCCGCGAACCTCCATGTCGGCTCTCCTGCCCAGAGCTATACCGAGATTGTCTTATCCACAAACCTGACTACAAAGTGAGCCCTGTAAATTTTTGTTCGTCCTTCGTTTAAAGACGTGTTATTTGGAATTTCAGACTGGCCATTGATTGGGACTAGACTTGGAGCCCACGACCGGTATGGGCACTATACAATTAGACTCGCAAGTTTCTGGTTTGGAACAGAGGCTGAAAATAGTGCGTTGCATCACTCCTTTTATCATTCCTCTTCGCTTATATCGTTAGCCCAGCCGCTTTTGAGCGCCCACGTTCTTGGTTGGGCACCTATCTTCATGTTCTTTCGGGTTGTTCTCTCGGTGACTCAACATTGATTGAAGCGACAAATATAGTACCAAGGCCATGGCATTTACACTATCGGCAAAGGGCTAATCGAGGGGAGCACTCAGAAATTACAGATGAACCCAATCCTCCACATACTTTGGTGTCGTTCACGACGAGACAAAGACTCTTTTGTCGGCTTACGGTCGACGCTCGTATGTCCTTAGCTCTCAATAAGGGGTCTTGATTCTACCGTTTTCTCACTTTGCGTCCCCTCGAGAGCATTGACCTTTCTAGATTCCGTTTTTTTGGTTGATACCGACCACATCTTGCATGCTAGGGATAGTTTTGGTCCCCCGGAAGTTGGGATACTCAAGAGTCGTGGTTTCCCTACATCTCAACCGTCTATTCGTGGTAGCGAGTGCTCGTCGCTTGGTCGTCAAATATAGCGAACCAACAAGTTAGACTTCGCGGAACCAATCCCGTCGGTAGGCTTGGGCGCTCGCTACATCCTAGTATTCTATTGTGCGACATCATAGCCTCTTCCCCACCTCTCTCGCTCTGGCGTATATTACTTGGATGCTCGTTGGAATAAACAGGTCGTTTACGCTTATTCGCCCCCCTTCGTTCCTCAGCTCAGTCGATCTCTGTCCTTTCTTTCTGTGGCATTTGTGACTTTCGCTTGGGTGCCACTACCCTTGACTCGCCATACAGATACTCAACTTCACAGACGTTACCATTAGTGCTTCATGGGGTTGAAATCATTTCATCCTGTCCACTCTCCCGCGTCTTTATCTCGGTAGAATGAATGCCGACCTGTCTACATTTTGTAAGCGGTTTCATACGCTACTACCGTCAACGTCACAGGTTCTCCGTATCGTTCAATAGCGAAATCCTGCTCTCCATCATTGCGAGAGAAGATCCTGCTTAATTTACGGTACGAGCGCTGTCCGTAAATTGATCTGATAATGGCACTCCGTATGTGAGTATTCCACTGTACATATCAGAAAACGCTAGACAGAGAGAAAAAACGAAATGGAAAGTTCATTCCCTCTAGCCGACTTGAACGACTGACCTCTTCATAGCACGCAAGGTATTTAAGGATACTAGTGAAGCGCTCTACCACTGAGCTAAGAGGGATTATGTGAGTATCGCGAGGCTAGGAGATATATCATGGACTCCAAGGCCCGTTCGTCGGTCATGTACTTACCTCTACAAAAGAAAATCTTCATGGGGATGGTTTAATGGGACTAAGAGGCGAGGTACCGGGCGGTAGAAAATTAGAAAAAAAATTTCAAATCAGGATCACGAGGGATACACCGTTCGGGAATCGAACCCGAGCCGCTTGCTTAAACCTGGCTTTCGCAAGCATCATGGAAGGCAAGCATGATAACCACTTCACCAACGGTGTGCATATGGGCGACAAGTTGATATCCTCTATAGGTACCTTCCTGAATCAGATTTATTGGTCGCTTCGAGCGTCGGGTAAAAAAAAAACAACGGAATCGGGCGAGATGAATGAGTGAAAACCCGTCGAACAAGCGAGTGAGTGGAGGTTTGATTCCTCGGGTCTCCGTCGAAACAGCCAACATGCTCGAGGAGAAGTAGGTACATAGGATACGGACTGGAGGAGCGACCAATACGTGATGACCCAGGGGCCAGGCCCCGTGTATGATGTGCGCGCGAGACTGAGGAAAGGGATTATGTACATCTATGATCTGGAAACAGACGTTCCCATGTTCAGCGAGAGCCTGGCCGTTGACGGGATTTATCATAGAATATCAGTGATCAGTTAAAGTTTTCGATTGTTGATGGGGAAGACTTTTTGGATGGCCTCGGCCGACTCGAGATATGGGGGTATTATGGAGGGTTACGGTTACCAAAAGGCTTCTTCAGACCGAGCTGTATATTGGAATTAAGTTTGAGGAACTGAAGGTCAAGCTGAACTTACTTTGCTATCTCGATACGATGACGCTTTGGGGGTACGACGGTCGCGTAAACAACATTCTCGTGAGAGCTGAGATAGTAGTCAGAGAAGAAAAAGTGGAAAATCTTGCTAAATGGACACTGTGGGATTTGAACCCACGACCTCACGCATTGAAGTCAGAAGATCTCATTATGCGAAGCGTGCGCGCTACCCCTGTGCCAAGTGCCCCGTGGTAACATGAACTCGAAAGATCACTATGTAGCCCGTACGTCTGGGAGCTGAGGACTGAGAACTGAGGTACAATCTGAGTACGACACCTTTTCTACACTGTGACTCCGGAATCTCCCCTACGCCGCTATAGTCATCCATGTCAAGTTAAGTACCTCAGAAACCCAACAGGAAGCTACGAGAAGCATGACTATGTATGCCAGGTCGCGAGCCTCAGGAGTCAGCATTCAAGAATATATAAGTTACGTTGACCTATCCCGCACAAAAAAGGAGCCACAATTGCATCCCGGGGTACTACAAGGAAACAGAAATCCTACGCCACCCCCATCAGTTCCCTCTAGCCGACTTGAACGACTGACCTCTTCATCAATTCTGACCCTGGCAAATACGAGTGAAGCGCTCTACCACTGAGCTAAGAGGGACAATGCTCTCCTGTTTCCATTTGATGGGACGGTAATCATCTCAGAATCACGGAGATGCGTGATAATGATTTCTGCTTGACGCGAATAAACCTGCCCTCAACAAGTGGTCCGTGCCCAGCGCTCAGCCGAAAAAATGTTCCCACCCTCCCCTCGAACCCCCATGTTGGCTCGTCCTTGATCGATATCTTCGACCTTGGTCATCACGATTCTCTGACTGCAAGGAGCTTTTAATTCCATTTCGCCGAATTGCCTTCGGTCTAACCTTGTGTTACTCTAACCTTTAGACTCGTCGTCTGACGGACACCAGCTTCAAATTTCAAGCTCTCCACTAACTATACGATGGCCTCGTGAATGGTTACTGATATTCTGGCCGATTTGTTGGAGTATGGTTTGGGAGAAAGGTACGTCTTGTCGTTCGATTGTTTTTGTGGGCTTTGTGGGTTTTTCTCGTGCGTATGATGCCCAATCGCTTTGCAATTACGACCTTCACCGTCGGGCATGTGTCTTGATCTTTTCGATCTATTTTCTCCCTTGGTACTGACTTATGATTTCTGCATTCCGGCCTAGAAGCGACGTCTGATATACCCAATGGCAAGAATTCGACAGAGAAGATAACCCAATCGATAGCGACATGAAAGCAATGACGTTCCTCTGGACGCTATCTCTTCTCCCAGCTACTCATCATGTGCTTGCTGTTCCCCTTGCGACGGATTGCTCGCCTGCTGGCCTATGGTCAATACTGCCTGTGTCATCCTCTGCCCTCACCTTGTTCATAGGACCGGCCTCGTTCAATACCATTCTTGTTCCGTTTGCGAAACTTTCTTTCGATGCTTCACACTTAGGCTCGTCGTGCATACATATCACGTTTTCCCTACACGAAACGTCGTGACTGGCTACGATATCATCTTGACTGCTCGACGTTTATACCTCTCAATGGCTAGCAGCCCCGAGGATTGAGATGTGCTATCATCGGAGCTCCAATAGCTTCTCACTGTTCCGGTCTTTTATTGTATGACCATCATTTTCCTTCCCCACTCGCTCGATAACGCCGGCAAAAATATCTTCGACATCCCTGTTCTCAGTTGTTGCCGCTTCGTTCTGAATATGCACGTACCCTTTTCCATATGCTGCTCGCGAGTTGTCGCGGGCGACATCCCCTTCGATGGATTTGTGACAGCACTCGCTGCACTCATTCCCAAGCTCCTGAGGTCGACGTCGTCGGGATCGCCCTCGATTAACTTTGATTGAGGGCGTGACATACCTACTTTCTACCGGCAATTTTATCTTGTATCATCTTCAACATGGCCCATAGGTTCGTGGGATTTGCCCTGCCGCTCAATCGATCTATCCCGTCAGTGTCGGTTGCCGCTATCTGAGCTGCACAACTATTCGGGTATCGTCCCTTTATATTATGTTGTAGCTATCGCTGATGCGTCTTTTGTGCCGTCGTTGTCTCGATCACATACACACCAGCTTCTTCTAATCTGTCATCGTGTCACATTCACTTATATAACAGGACCCTGGACAACGCCTTCAAATGTATGATCCATAACTCATAATAATCTGTATGCGGTCTTGTGTCCTCCCAACTATCTTCTCCCTACTGTACAGGTATCAGATCACGCAGACACTGATTTCTTCGTCATGATTCGTTCCCCCGCACCTCATCGATCATCATCGATCATCGCACTCCCTTTTCTAACTCGTGTACCTTGTCTTGGAGCTCAGTGTTCATGTCCCCTCGACTACTACCTATCGTTTCCTTATCGACGTGTTCAGGCCACATTTGCCAAGGTGATATGTTTACCCAACATATGTACTTCTCTTCTTTCTTCTTGAGAAAGGAGGTCTCTATCCATAATATCATGGCTTTGCGCACCATACGGGCGAACTGCCTGAATGAGGACTATTTTAATTTGTAGTTGAAAAAGATTCGCTCCTCAGTTCCCTCTAGCCGACTTGAACGACTGACCTCTTCATCTGTATAGGCAGTCTGCACATACTAGTGAAGCGCTCTACCACTGAGCTAAGAGGGACTATACCCGAACTCCAAGGTTGTAATACTGATACATATCGCGAGCCCAGCGTGAGATTCGCCGACGGTCCTCCGAATAAACGGCTTGACTACGAAGGCAAGCCAAAACTCTGGTGAAGAAAGAGAATATCCACACCAGCTTGCGGGAAATCTGGACAGCGATACATGAGAGGGGAAAAAGTTAACACTCTGCCCCGGAATACACCGTTCGGGAATCGAGCCCGAGCCGCTTGCTTTCTAAATCGATCAGTCGTGCAATGGAAGGCAAGCATGATAAGCACTTCACCAACGGTGTTTCTTTTCTTTGGGCGATCAGGAACTCGAGTCAGATTCCAAGTTCAGATACTCGCAGCTCTCAGACTGTGGACCAGGACTGGGAAGAACTTGAATTCCAATATTTTATAACCCTTGTTGTGCGACTCAGACCATTTAGGATTTGTACCAATAACAATGCCAATAACACTATAACGACCACAAACCAACCGAAGAACCGAGGAATAAGTACTGTATAAATACCTTTAAGTAGATAGATACCGAGCCTGGAAAGCCATAATGAATGAGGGAGTATCGACGACCGAGTGAGTGGATGGGGGATTTTGAAAAGCGTCCGAGAGAAACGAGGGAGATACAACAAATTTCTGCTTCCTTTTTCTTTTCTTTCAGTGGGGTCTAGGGCGAACCGCTTAGTGATCAGCCGGGTCGAGAGCGTTGTAAGTCGGGCAAAGGTCGTTCCATGCACCTAGACAGGCCTCAGCATCAGAACCGAGAGGAATCAAATCAAACAAAATCGTTAACTCACTCGGAGGTGCAGGGAGAGATGCCCACTCGTCTGTCCTCTCGGCGAAGACCACAGCAAAGCCACTAAAGTGAATCACCACGGTAAGCATCCCATCGACGGAGGAATCAGGCGATTCGAACTTACCTCTCCATGTGCCAGTCAATATGGCAATGCATGAACCAGGGTCCGGGGTTATCAGTGCGGAAGCGGATCGTAACGTTGTCGCTCGCTGTTCCGAGGTTGACCACGTCTCGTCGGACCTAGAATTTGGTCGGAATGTTAGTACAACCAGGGACCTCGTAACAATGACACTGTCAACCACGCACAGGGTTTGCGTAGTTGTAGGTACTGCTGCCTGCAACCCGGACGACATCGAATGCGTGCTACAAATAGAGTCATGTCAGTACAACTTCCACTGAATATACCGGTAGATCTAGCACGTACACCATGCAAATGCATAGGATGTTGAATACCCAATAACCCTCCATTGAACGACAACTCCACCGTCTTATCCTTCGGGAGCGGGAACACCATTCCCTCGGGTAACAGGTTATCAGCGGATTGGGCTCCACTCAGGATTTGAAGCAGAACTGGGACAGTTGGGGGGACGAAGCTCTTTCCGTTGAGTGTAAATTTGCCACCGCTCTATTGTGTTGAGGGAATAATCGGTGAAAGTCCATCACGGGAATAATCACAGAACGTACGAAGGCAAAGTTGAGGTGCATGGCGACATCGACGCCACCTTGGGTTGGGTTTCCGGGTGCTCCGGGGTTCGAGAGAGGCTGGGGGGCAACGATCGACCGGTCATTATTACAATCCTCCAGATCGAAAATTCGAAACTTACGACAAGCTGGGCTTCGTTCATCGGGGCGGTCGACTGGAAGTTGGTAACGGGAGGCTCTGCGACTGGAGCGCCAGCATAGCGCAAGATGGCAGAGTTGATACCGTTGACGAAGCCGGTTGGGCCTCCGCTGGGGTTGGCGCGGATCCCTAAGAGAATAAGGTGAGATGAGATACGCATGAACGGCCACCGTGAATGAAAACTTACAGTAGTTTCCGACAGGCTGATTAGCTTCCATCTGAGAGATGCGGAAGAGGGTTCAGGCTCGAATGCAAGCTAGAGAGTTCTCAGGACTTACAATGAGAGAGTAACGTTGACCGGCAAAGATTCTGACGGAATCGGCGTGTAGCACTGCGTGGTTGACAGAGTCCGCTTCGATGATATCGCTGAAGTGTAATTATTTGAGCCAAATACACGATATCGCGAGAGAATATCTGATACTCACAAGGAATGTCCTTCGATGAAGAAGTTGTAGTTCGGGCTGCAAGCGACGTTGACTACACGGAAACGGTACCTGTTGGGGACATCAGTCTAGCCGTTCTCATCGGGAGAAAGGAAATGAGCTTACCGTTTTCCTTGCTCAACGTTGATGATCGACAACGGTGCATTCGCATCACCTTGATTCCAACGACCAAGTCCGTTGATGAGGGTAGCTACCGGTGTACTATTTCAGACCGAAACCATCAGTACAAGTTCGGGAAGTACAGACAGCAGCGGGAACTAGCCACTTACGCGTTGGCAAGACCCTTGGCCTTGACGTGATACCAATCAGCGAGTGTGATGACCGTAGATTCTGAATCAAACGTTGATGAGACTCGGGTTGTGTGGAATTCAAAGGCGCCCATAGATTTTTACCATTATCCACGTCGTAACGACTAGCATGAGGATCTTGAGGGTCATACACAACCATGGGCCCACGAAGACCGTCACAGTATTGGGTTGCTAGACAGGAACTTTGAGTTTTCTGCACGTTCTCTCGGGAGAGACATCGAT